TTTTCAAAGTCCCAAGGTTCTTGGTTCATAATATCACAACCAAAAGAAAGAAACTCTGTGACCAAGGATCTTAGCTAACTTTTTACTGCTTTTTAAAAAGTCCTTAAAAAAAAAAAAAAAAGTCCTTAAAACCTTTAACGACAAAAAACAGAAACAGCCAGGCGCAGTGGCTCACGCCTGTAATCCTAGCACTTTGGGAGGCCGAGGTGGGTGGATCACCTGAGGTCAGGAGTTCAAGACCAGCCTGGCCATCGTGGTGAAAGCCCATCTTAAAAAAAACAAAAAAACTAAGGCATACTGCAACTTAGTGACCCTATAAATGGCCTCCTTGTCCAAACCTATATTCCCAGTTGGCCCGAAAGTCCAAAACCCAACCAATTCTGGGTAATGACTGCTGGGTTTCAGGGTGGCGCCGTGTTCCTTCAGGGGATCTGCCCAGTGCCGAGGGCCACACCCCTAAGCTCCAGGTACCCGGCTCTATCACACCCCAGCAAAAGGAAAGCACCAGCAGAAAGTGCTTCAGCGGGGGCATGTGGGCTCCTCCATTCCATGTACGAGAAAATAAAGATGGGGAAAGTACCCGAAGCTCCCCATCTAGTCAAGGCTCAGGACCCGGAACAGCCTTTACCCTATCGCAAGATTGACAAGTACAGGCTGTTTTCTACAGCCATGAGTCCGGATACAGGTCCATTCCAGAAGCTTCCCGCACCACCCAGCCCAGCAGGAAGCTAGTCTTGGAGACCCCACCACCGGCCCGCCCCGATGCCGCGTCACGTGCTCGGGTGGCCGAGGTTAAGACTCGACTCGCATCCACTACAGCCTTGGGATTCAACCGGGTGCCCCCACCCCTACGCGGGGGGGCCACGTGAGGGGTACATGTAGCGCTCAGGCAGTCTCGGGCTCCGGGCCTCCCCCAGCTGCCTCAAGCACCACAGAACCCCAACCCGAGCGCGGGCGGGCCCCGGACAGGAGGAGGAAGAGGCAACAGGCAAGTACGCGCCGCACCTCGCTCCGCTGAGGCCGCGCTGGGCACACTCACCAGTCCTGACACAAGTCTCCGAGAACAAACCACCGAACAGAAAGAGGACCCAAAGGACTCGCCAGAGGCTCAGCCTTTATAGCTAATACGGCTCTCGCGAGAGTCGAAGCAGGCCGGGGGTGCGGGAGGAGGAGAGAGAGGAGGGGGATGTAGCAGGAGCCCCGCCCCACCCTGGCGCGCCCCGCCAGAATGACTCGGCGCTTTCCCTCTTGGGGGGCGGGCGCGGAAATGCTAATCCCCCTCACTGCTGTGGACCGCAGAGGTTGGAGTGAGGCGCCCTTGTGGCCGCTCCCAAACCCAAACGTTTAGGTTGATCCTAGATCTCTGCGGAAAACCAGGATTCTCTTTACTTCCAGGACCACTGCGCACTGTACCCTCAATGCCCAAACCGGAGTAAGCCTCCTACCTGCTGCCCACGGAGGACCACGTCGAACCACACCAAGCCCTGAGAACTGTATATCCAAATATTTCTTAAGTTCGCAACCTTAACCCCACCTCAGATCCTGAGTAACCCTCGTGGCTTACATCGTTTCCTTAATTGTTCTCTTTGATTACAGGGTTGCTGCTTTCTGTTGTAAAGGAAAATAAAGTCTGAGGACGCCTAAACTTGTGCCAAAGAGAAAGTTCAGCCTGGGAGGCTGACTCAGGTACACGACCATCCTCTCCACGGATGAATAACTGACTTTACAATCTTGGGTCAAAGCATCACACATTAGCCATCCATCACACACGGTTAGGCAAAAGGCCTCATACATTTCCTGATGACTACCCCCCACAAACACTCACAAAATCATTCATTATTGTTTGCTACCCTGGAAACCGTTATAGCCTCCCATAAAACAAGGACGTGTCAACTGTAACTAGATCTTCAGTCTAAAGTCTAGTTCCTAAAACTAAAATTTGTTCTAGTCCACTTTTTTTTTTTTTTTTTTTTTTTTTGGTTGGTAAATGTTTATTGTTTCAGTTTAGAAACAATATTGGTCTTTTCAGGAATTCCATTTTTTTTTTTTGATACGGAGTGTCACTCACTTTGTCTCCCAGGCTGCAGTGCAGTGGCCGGGTGTTGGCTCACTGCAACCTCCGCCCGCCCGGCTCAAGCGATTCTTCCGTCTAGCTTCCGGAGTAGCTGGGACTACAGGCACTCGTCACCACGCCCGGCTAATTTTTGGTATTTTTAGAAGAGACGGGATTTTACTTTGTTGGATACTCTGGTTTCCAACGCCTGGTCTCCAACCGCACGCCTTGGCCTCCCAAAGTGCTGGAATTAGAGGCGTGAGCCACCGCAGCTGGCCTCTATTCCAGAAATTCCATAAATGTTGACTACTAGATATTCTTTTCAGGTGCAGATTCCCTCACCCCTCCCTGAGTCCACCGTATGATTGGTTTTTTCCTGTATTCCCTTTTTCCTCAAACATTCACCTTATCTTATGTAAAAATGTAGATTTGCGGGCCGGGCGCGGTGTCTCACGCCTGTAATCCCAGCACTTTGGGAGGCCGAGGCATGGGGATCACGAGGTCAAGAGATCGAGACCATCCTGGTCAACATGGTGAAACCCCGTCTCTACTAAAA